ATTGAAATATTGAACGAAAAATCTTACATTCAAGCAAACATTTATCTATCATAAATTGGTATAGTTAAAACGATAGGACTAGATTGATTAACTATACCGCTTTATAAAGCAATTCAAAGTTTGGAGAATACTGATAATTTCTTTGAGCAGCTAAGGAATAGAGCATGAGGGAGGACACCACTAGCCGTATACAAACCAGGGATCCGCGTGACCAAGGCCATGACCAAAAAGAAGAGTTTATTTGTAAACTCAATTGGCTAGAATTTCTTGACTTTCTTTAGCTGAAGGAAAAATTACTTTTTCTACCTAAATTGGCTAGAGATTTGTGTGTAGAAAGAGAAATGGATTTTGCTAACTCAATTGATTTGAATTTCATTATGATATAATGTTATTAATTAGAGAGGAAAAAACAAAGAAGTCAATAGATTTATTAAGAACAAATATTTATATGTTACAATTAAAACTGCAGGTATAATAATAATAATTTATAAATACTACTTTATTTATAATAACTTTTATATTTTCATTTTTTTAATAAATTGGATTAGCTGTGCTGGTCATGTATTGTCGGGTTGAACGATGGTAGCATACACAACCATTTCATTATGACACGTGAAAAGTAGTTGAGTCTTTTTGTAGGAAAAAAATAAAACATAGACCTGGATTAAATTATAGATTTGATTCGAAATCAAAGTTAGCAATTAATTTTAATCACATATTTTATGGATGTACAATTTTTCTATTATACATTTTATTAATTTTTATCAAAATCTACTAAAAAATTGATTTTAATATCCACCAATTAAGGGCATATAATTATATCGTTATTTTAATATAAATGATCATTCACTATTTAATTTTTAAGAAATATATTTATCATTAACTAATTATTAAATAATATGTTGCCACTGCCACTGGATGCAAGATAGATGCAAAGATGGGCACAAATATTTTTGTAAGAGAGAATTCAGGAATTTAGGGCATAAAAGAGTTTTTATCCCTCCAGTGACGCTAAAATCCTAATTACTTTTTAATTCCTTTTTGTGGAAAGAGTGAAATCCATTATTAAATGTAGTCTTAGTTTAAAAGGCGCAAGACAACATGATCGAACTTCAAAACCTTGGCACATTGTGAATCTAGATTTAATAATGTTTTGCCTTAATGAATGGGGGAGGTAGCCAAATTAGGATATCACTATTGGCAAAAAAACCAGCAAGAAAAAAGAAGGTAACTCAAATTCTCTGATTTTATAACTTAACTGGTAGTTTAGAAATCTTTCTCGAGGTACCCACCACTCGGAGTACCCTCACAAAAGGAAAAAGATGTATCTGTCACATAAATTTAATTATAACCTGATTTTTAAAATTACATAACATATTTATTAACTTTGAAATTATATCTTCTAACCACCTTAAATGAGTATGTTCTCTAAAATTACTATAGAACCAAGTTTTCAAACTTTGTTTTTAATTAAAAATTATTGTGAATTTTTCAAAATTCATAAAAATATATGGAAATCAGGAAACTCTTAAGTCTCCAAAATGTTCGCTAGAAAATTCAAATTTTGGAAGCCTGTGGAATCGAAATTTACAAATTTTCACTATATTCACATCTCATTCATATTTTAGTACTTACGATGTGTGGATGTTATCGGAACACCACAAATATCTACAATTCAGTGAGATCATTTTGTTGTGTAAAATAATTGTTGGAACGTCGTTTATAACTTATTCCAAGACTATTTATGTGAAGCCAATATTGCAGAAACTTGCTAAGACCTTGTTTGATTCCTATTCTTTTGAAAAAAATACATTTTTAAACAATATTTTAACAGCATTTCAATTACACATTCTTCAATAAAATAATATTATACGCAAATTTAAAATTTGTACTTACTTTTTAACCACACATTTACTATCAATACACTACTCAAAAATACATTCTTATGGAAAAAATGGGGCTCAAACAAGGGCTAAGTGATGGAAATTTTTTTGATTATTTTTGGTAGCGATTCCAAACCTGACGAGGTTTAGATTTTTAATACAACTTGCAATTTTCATATATGTCTCAATCGGGATTTGTTTTCAAGATACGAAACAGTTTCAAAATGTGTTGTAATAATGGGTAACAATGCACCTTGTAAGGTAGCTGGTACTGAAAAGTTTAGAATTAAAATGTTTAATGTGATGGTTAGAACACTCGATGAGGTAAGATATATTCTAGATTTGAAAAGAAATCTTATCTCTTTCAGCACTTTTGATTCAAAAGCGTATAAGTACATGGGTTAAGATGGTGTCTTAAAGGTTAGTAAAGATGTTCGTGTTGCATTGTAGGGATAGAAAATGTCCCAATTGTATGTTTTGTAGGATTGTGCAGAATCTTTGAATATTAGTCAGCAGAAATTAGGTGCATTAGTTGACATTCAGTTTTGTATAGTACTGTTGGAGTTTAGTTTGGGTCTATGTTGAAAAATGTAGCTCAATCGAGTTTAGAGACTGTGGGTAATGTTGCTTTGCCACCACCACCAGTGGTGTTACAATATTCAATTGCTAAAGACAAACCCAGGAAAGATATTAGGCCTCCACAAAGGAAGAAAGAAGTTGATTTAGTAGTATATATTTTATATGGTTGAAGGTGTTGAGTCTAGCAAAAAACCTTCTAGAGAAGTAGTTTGTAAGTTGATTCTATTACAAAGTGTGCTTTTGCCCTTGTTTGGCGATTATTGAGTTGTTTTGTGAATTTTTTTTGTTGCTCGTGGCAATAATTCCTCCAACTTTAGCATATGAGGTATTTGTGCTGAGCAGTGCTTGGATTCAATCGATATTTACTTATTAAGTTTATCCTAATTGGATTGGGGAAGAGGTGGAGGATTGTGTTTCATAATTTGTTGAAGAGTTCAGTTTATGCCTTGCAATGAAATTTGTCTCTAGGTGAAGAATATTTGAAGTCTGGTCATCATATTGTAATTTGGCAATGCTTTGAAAATCGACTCAAAAAAGGTGAAGGGTAAAGGGTCAAAAGGTTCAATCGGGGTCGAACTCGGACCAAACCAGATGTACTAAATACATACAAAAATAATAAAATATTATGAAAACAATAATTTTTTTTTTATTTTTATATTAATAATTTGTTAATTAGATTCTTATTTTATAATTTTTAACATTTTTGTCATGCCATTATCCCACATTGGAGGTTTATGTAATTATTGGAGAGAAGTGCATCAATAAAATGTACTATTCCATATTGGAAGTCTATAAAACCATTTAAGAGAGGTGCATATAGAAAAAGAGCATGTCATCCGATATTTCTCTATGAACCATTGAATTGTAGCATATGAAGCTCGTTCATGAAGTTGAAATTTTTTAAATTAAATAAAATTAAAATAGCAAAATCACAAAATCGCAACCGGTTCATCAGTTTACGGTTAAATCAGCTAGTTCAATGGATTTTTAATTGATTTAGTCATAAGCGGTTAATCGGGCATTATTGACCCGATTTTGGGACTAGTTCCCAATTTTACCGGTTGAACTGGTCGGGCCAAGTCGATTTTGATAACATTGTAATTTGGTTCAAGATGGAGGTCTGTTGAACTTTGACCTAAATTCGGTTTGGTTTTGGGTGATTAGTTGAAGTATGGCCTTGAAGAGATCAAAATATGGACTAAGAAATGATTTCGACCTTTTTCCGTTAGCTGCTCGCCAAGCTCTCACTCGAGCGCTCATAACAGGGAGTCTGGTACTTGCTCACCGTCAACTCGCTGCTCGAACGGTGGGTGCGCCACCTCTCAACGCTACACTGGTGCTCGAGCGCTGCTATGTTCTAGTCAAAGATTCTCTTTATTCTAGGCATTTTTTTTAAAAAATATTCTTTCCATCTCTAACACTATAATTAAAGTTTGACAAGGTATCCTATGTATGGTTAACTCTTCACCATGAGTTTAATAAGTTGAATATCTTGAGTTTTTGAGTTGTGCTATGATTACTATTTCACATCATATCATATAATCTCGTCCTTAATTACTAACAAACGGAACTAGAGAAAGGAACAAATTGAGCTTTATCATCTGCAGGCTTCTACCTAGAAACTTGATTCCAATTCATGATTAAACAGCCTTCGTAATAGAATAAATATTTGTCGATATCAAATCTGAGTTGACAGGAGTTAAAATTATTGTTTTTGTATTTTCTTATTTGTCAGAGCATACAAATGTTTAACTTGGAGAAGATTTGACGAGTATCACTTGTACACGACATACACTCCACATAGAGAATTGAGCAATGATTATAATAAACTTTTAATAGGATCATTATGAATCTTTAACCAAGTAAATTAGCTTTTATTTAATGAAAATTAAAAATAAGTAAATTACTTGTTCTGATTTTATTCAAAAATATACTTATTTTGCTAGAAAACAGTTTGATGATCAAAAACTTTATTCAATTTTAAGACCGTATTCTTTTTGCATTTGCTAACAATTAAGGTGTTTTCTTTTACGCTTATGCTAAATGTACATAATGATTTATTTTACACACGCATAATTTGATAAGATATAATTGGATTAGAATTTCTTTAGACCCAAAAAAATAAAAAATTAATAATAATAATAACAGAAAAATCCTTATCCACACTCTTTGATACTTCATCTATATATAAACAATCATATACAAGTAACATTATTCTTTCTTTCATTTATTTATATACATTCTGGGTGGTCCAGCTGATATAGAGTATTATTATTAATGACCCCACAACTATATAAATTTTGTAGTTGTTTCCTTCGGTAAATTTATAACTCAGTGTACCAGCTAATATTGCTTGATGAAAAGAGATCATTTGAAATGAAAACGAACAATCATCTTCCCATTTGTTAACAAAAGCTACTAGTAAGTGGGAAGACCACAGATCTCATCTCAGATTTGTAGCAACCCTTTCCCTAAAACATGTATTATCGTGATAATAGAAATTAACGTCGTTTCTCATCAACACGACAAGACTGAAAATTGCTTTGACGAAATTATTTGCCACTTAAATAGGTCTTGAGAGAAATTTCAATTTGGACAGATCAGATCTGTTGTCCCATTGGTTACATATTGGGCATCACTTTGGTAACAAGAGCTTATTTACCGAGGGGTCAAGATTTTAACGAAGAGACAGCCCTCTCCACAGCCCAGCCAAACATGGTCCCCCAGTTAAGGCTGGCTGAGTTAGAGTTTGTCTCCATATGCTTCAAATTTAATGGCAGCATAAGGTAGTCAGGAGAACTAAATGCAGCAATTGAATTCTGTTTCCTGCTCTAATTGCTGCCTGCCTGGGTAAAAAAAGTTACATTTTCACATATGGTACAAAATTGCCAGTCACAGGACCAATATCTGAAGCACGAGAATGCTTATATGATGTGCAGAGTTTGAGGAAGAATGGGGAACTTTCATCTTTCGACTACTTACTTTTATACTATGTAAAGCCGGAGAATTTCACCATATAAAACGTGCGTTCCACCGACTTTGCATGAGACCACTACTCTTTCTGGAAGAAAGAGAGTACAAAATCTGTGTGGACAGAGAACAGCTGTGTATCCACAAAGAGCTGTAGTCAAACAAAACAGTATATTATTCTCAACATGAATTAATCAAAGATCAAAACAAATTATTCGAGTCATCAGAAGATAATAATTATTTTTCCCCACATTTCAAATAGCTTATCATCATTCTTGCATAAAATTTGGACAAAACAAATGATATCTGTCTCAAATTTAAATTTAAAAAATCACTTATTATTATTTTGTGTAAAAATTAGGTTGAACCAGAATACAGTATAGTAGTTATATTCTCCCAATAATGATTTCATAAGTGCTAGCAAACATCTGATATTAAATTACCACCAATATGAGATTCGGATATTTCATAACTAGTACTAAGACACCTAACCGATGTCCATCGTACAAATGAGGCTGAAATCTCTAATATAAGAAAGCTTTGACTTTATAGAACCAACATACCTTCATAAAAGGTTGATCTCGACTAGGGAATGACTCAATGAAACTTTCCTTTAATAGCAAAGATACCTGTCAATCATAGGATAAATTGTTGGTAACCTATGTCCATACACAGACTCACACATGATTCTTGAAGTGGATCAGAGCCTCAAATTTTCCTTCTCCACCAATAAACTATATGAAAAAACTAGATTCTATATTATACCAAGTATGCCTTCTAAGTGAATATGATTACATAACAGCCTCGGCAAGTTATATCACATGATTCTAAAAATCTTCCACAGAAAAACTTTGGAAGACAAGCAACGGACAAATTAAGGAATGTATAACAGAAAATAACAGAAATCATCAGACACAGAAAATCATTAAATTTATTAGCCACGACAGGTAGGGACAAGCCACATGTAGGAAATGTCTCAACAAACATACAAACATTATATGAAGTAATTTTGTGACACAAGCAAGCTCATAGTTTTTTGGAACCCTATATCAAGTAGCAGGAGACAGATAAATGTAGCTAGTCCCGTGATTGGCTGAAGGCAATGTAGAGGACAGTTTTACAGTAAACATGATTTGGTTTTCACGAGAACGCTTGCACACTTTTTTCTGCAGATAATCATACATCGCATGGCATTGGGTGATTTTAGCTTATCTAAGGTCTGAAAAAGACTAAAATGAACAAGACTTCCTTGAATCACAACTTCCGGATGGATTTATGACTTGCAGAGCCTAATATTTCAAGTCAAGATAGATTGTTGTACTTACAGTAATGAAACATAATAAACATCAGTATATAATTTTGTAACTCTGACAAGCAAATTGTTTCACAATAGAGGAACTTCTTTCCTCGATAAAGGAAAAAGGAAAGAAAGGGGGAGGGGGCTGGTATTCATTTAAACTAATTAAAAGGTTTAAAATGTTACTTTAGGCAACTTATCAGATTTATAGTATTCTAGAATATTACACATACCTTGTCATCATTTGATTGGACATTAGTAATTGTATGAGATCGAAGGTTGGAACACACAGAATCCAAGTAAGACCTCAATACTCCAAGGAAACTTTTGGCAGCTTCAACCTACAGATATTAATATAGCTATTAAGAACATAGGGATACACATAAAACAGAATCTGCACTAGTGATTTTAAAAATAGCTACGCCTCATGTCATAAAAATAAGAAATTTCCAGTCCTATGTATTTGTCTGTACACAATTTTAGTTTATTTATTTATTTTTTTGTGGGTGGTGGGAGGGTTGAGAACAGCAAGCTTTTCTTTATTAAATAGAGGATTTACATAATGAAAGGGCCATGAGTTCTCAAAGAAAAATCAAAAGCAACATAATTACATGTGAATGCATACAGAACGAGCTACTGTCTGAAACCATATCACTATAATCCCACTAAATCAAACCCTAGGACTTGAACACAAACAGGCTAAACAACCACCACAAATCAAGTAGTGTTGGGAAATCTGAACATAATTTAACGTCCATATTCTGTACATGTTCAAAAAATAAAAAATCAGTGTTTGAAAACATTGCTCAATAATCAGAGCACCTAAATTGCAACTTCTTCTCCTCTCACCTACCCCCATAAAAGAAAATCTACTCTTCAATTTCTTTATGTTCAGAGAATCATAGAAATCAGTAATCATGTTATTTCTTTTAACACCCATCATTTGGAAGGCAAGGACAAATTCTTAACCTATACACTATCAAACAGATTGATGAAAGTAGTTCCTTTATTATCTAAATTGTAAATATTATGAATAAAACTTCAAACTTAATATGTGCTGGATTAAAGAGAACAACACTTATTTATGAAATTCATGATGATCCATAAATCTTAAGAAATCCATTAAAATCTGAGTTAAGAAATCCATAAATCTCAACTTATTTAGAAAAAGAGCGGGAAAAGTTATGGTTCAACGACATACCTGCACATCAGTACATTCATGAAGTGGCCTTTTCTTCCCCAAATAGCTTTCCCCTACTAGCTTCGCATGGTAAGGACTAAGGGACGAATACAGTTCTCTATGTTGAGGCAACTGTGGTATAGCTGGTGATTTCACCTATCCCCTCAACACAAAAGAAAAGATATTAGGTAGCTATGGTGAAGTGAAATGCTTTTATAAATGTTAACAAGACTAAGAAAAGACGGCAACTGTGAGCTATTAGAGGATTAAGGATTTATAGAATCTCCAAAAAATGAAATACTCTCTATTTTAGAGAGTCGGCCTTTAAATTATGCTCCAAGAGACTCTTCAAGTTAACATTTTAAAATATACCCAATCTATAAATAAATGCTTTCAAAATATTCTGATTTTCAATGCTCCATTTATTGACCCAACTAAATAGTATGTACAGAGAAAATAGAGGGAAATAATATAAAAGATGAGGGAAATTAGTGAAAACAAAAGATAGGAAAAAATAATAAATATATATTGGAAGTAGTAAAATTAAGCCCCTGTATGGTTGAAATTAAAATCAAAGTTTCATCAGATTATGATAAAAGTTGATGAAATATGATTGAAAAGTTGTGAGTTCTATGAAATATAGTTAAAATTAATTATTGATTTTGACTTAGATTAAAATTTTAATTTTAATTTTTACCAAACAAAGGCTAAGAGTAAAAGATAAAAGGTCTGTTGAAGTATTTAAAAATCTTCTCTCTAAATTTATAGATGATCTCTATATTGCAAAATATGCTTAATAAAATTAGTCTTTTGGAGAAACTCTTACAATAGCAAGCACCAATAGTCATACTTAGAATGACAATTCAAACTATGCAAAAAAGTTCTCCTAAGTGCCCCATTGGGACCCATATATTACCAAACGAAAAATAAGCCTAAGATTGGGGGCACTAAATGTTGATTTTAAGCTTGAAAAATTGTGATATTATTTCAAGTACAAAAGCTAATTGAACCAAACCTTTTATTATTTCTTTCAAGGCATTAAGAGGTTCCAGAACATAAAGACCAGTGGAAGTATCTACAAGAGTAATTGCTTCCCTTAAGCTAAACTTGAGCTTCTTTTATAATCTAGGGTGAGAGTCGTACTTGGAATCACCAAATTGTTCATATACAGTAACCAATCAAGTTTCCAAATTCCAACGTTTTTCAGATTCGACAACTCTGGAGGAATCTATTTTATTTTTTCCCCAATATATGAACTCAGTAAAACTAGATTTTAAGTCTCCAAATAATTTAAATTTCCTGCATATTTGTTCATGGTAAATATCCTCTTGGCCAAATATTTTCAGGGTCTTACCATATTCTCTCTGGTAGTATACATGCTTTGTAGTAGACCAACATCACAATTCAATTGGCATAATCATATCTTGTATGACCACACTGTTACATTTCAAGCAACTAATCTTGGATTGGTTGTTTCAGAAATTACACACCTGGTTTTTGTTCAGATCCACAAGAATGACATTTGTTAGCTTAGACTGTAACTCAGCTGTCTTGCTTTTTATGCCTACCTGTTCAAAGAATAAACGAACTTTGAAAAAGCAATAACTAAAACTGAGCAGATTCACAGAGTAGATTAAAGTGAAACACAGCACACTGTCATCAACTAAAATTCCAGACTAAGCACTTAAAATCCATTTCTGAGGTTGATATGTAATGAACACAGGTCCAAAAATATTGAGAAGCCCGAGAATAAAATATAACAAAATTTGGTTAAATAATTTCAATTTGAGAACGATAACTGTATGACAGCATGGTAAATATGAAACTATGACGAGCTTTATCACTTTCATGTGTTTTGCAAGCTTAACTATAAGTTTATGACCTGATTTGAGACTTCCTAACTTATGACTAAACTAGATAAAGAGAATGCAGGCAAAGGTGAGATGAATTTATAAATATGGACTAGCTGTCATTCTTTACTTCAAAATTAAGAGCATGCCCACCATCTGTTCTTGAATAATGTATGCATAAATGCTTTTGCAATGCATGCATAATCTTGCAAAAATGTCATTTGTATGTACCAAATAATCTGTTTGATATTGATTTTTGAGTGATTCATGGATAGCATACAATGAAGCTCAGAAGAGAGATTCACAAAATAGATGTGTTAACTACCTGCTCCATGCGTGAATGCATAAATAAATAAAAGATACTAAATTCTAAAGGCTACGCTAGAGTTACAATGCAAGAATAGTAGGACATAAACATTAGGGTCAATTACTTGCATACTAAGGCAAATCTCATACATTTCTAAGAACAGTGCATGGTCAAATATTCGAGTACAATCATAAAATGGTACAATTTACTGAGTGACTAGGAAGATCAACTTAATATTGACAATAATTTGCGGAACGAATTCTCTCGTGTGTATTACATTGAATTTATAGAATATTACAAGCTATATAAGGAAAGAAAATAATTAGGTATATAATGGAATTAATCCCCGATTTTCTGTGATTTTATTAACCTATACATGGAAATATACTCTGATAAATATGTACCTAGAAGTATCAATAGATTTTACTAACCAAGCAGTTAGATGTCCATTACATTGAATAAAATAAGAAATGGCAGAACATGAAGAATACAGCATTCTGATACTTTTATCGGATTCGTTATAGACAAAATATAGGTATTGAGATAAGTCCAGTGCTTCGAATCTTTAGGTCAATAAATGGGTTCCGTTAAAGGAAAGCATCAACAGTTATCTCTGCTGATGCCCATGTCTTCATTAGTCAAACTAAAGTACTATATACAATTGAATATTATATTAAAAGATTTAGGGGCTGTGTGATCTTGATACAAGTTGATAAAAAGCTAATGGGTCTCATGAAATATGTGGTGAAAAAGTGATTTTAAGTTGTGGGTCCAATAAATGTGTGGTTAAAAATGAAGTTCGACTAGCATTTTAGTAAACAAAAGCTCTATCAAACAGGCACTTATGCAAACAATGTAAAAATAAATTATTTATTGAAAACATAATTGCTATTTTAGTTCTCAAAAAGTAATTAATTATTTAAATAAAATTCACTTTGTACTTGATTATTTGAATAAAAGTAACGGATAATTTTCTGCTTGATGTTAAGGTTTGCAACTGTTCGACTACTGAAACACAATTGGTTTCTGAGTTAAGAGAGGAAAACCCAGGCATTCTACTTGCCAGGCTACTTTAGTTACTCACATTATGAGATTTACCCTTGTGATACTCACAATGGAGGGAAATTCTACGAATACATGAGCAATGTAAACTAGTTTAGTTCTGTACAATGGAACGCATCTGGGTGTGTAATTCAGGGCTGCTGTATCTAGTATGCAAAAGTGGTTATGGACATTTATACTAATAATCATCAGATTCAGATTATGTGTATTTTCCGTTATTAAGGATGCTAAATCCAATTAACAGAGCAGTGAAATTCATTAAAAACTAAGAAACTGTTATATTTTTATCGCAGATATGTGATTGAGTGAATGTGAAACAGGTGTCATATGCCAAAAATGAGTATTTCGTTCTTGGGACAAGATTAGAAATGAATCGTGCAAGTAGAATATACCGCATACCAAATGCTTAGCAAGTCTAGCATTACATTAACCAAGAAAAAGAACAGATCTCTACAAAGTGACGCAATATGGAGTTGAAGCAGCAGTTCACTGCAATATTTCATTTTAATGTCTCAATTTAAAATGCAATTTCTAATGAATAATACGAGAGTTGATAACATTGTGGATGCAAAATTGGCAAGGTAAAACAGCCAAGAGTACATGAAACTCACGATGTAAGGAACAGGTGCATCCAGAAAGTCCAGCATGTCATTAGGCAAAACCTGCAAATGAATGTGTGAAAAAGAAGAAAATATACCAAGAACATAGAAAGGTATCCAGGAGTACGTTTAAATGAGAAGCGTAAGGAAATAATCAACAGGTCATGATCAAAACATTCGAAGAAAGATTAAAGATGAGAACAGAGAAGTACTGGCATTAACAAGCTCTGCCACTGATAAGGACGAATCAAGGGGATAATCGAAAGAACTGAAGCAGACAAAATACCCTGCATACCAAACAAGAAAAATTGAAGATGGCAGAAGACTCCAAGATCTTTCTTCAGCAGTTAATCATATTATAAACAAAAGAAAAGAAAACAAGTGGATACAGGTAGCATGGATTACAAAGATTGGCTCCTTTTAGAATGAAATACATTGTTTTGTTAATCAAATAAGCCGCTATAGCTTTATTATGTAGTATTTATTATACTAAACTCAAATCTGTATTTGATCTTCTAATTATTGTTGGTCATGAATATACATTCACAGCTCATGTATCTTATTTTAATTGTAATAAGTGGTTTACTTGCTTAAAGAGAGAGATGTTTGATCTAGAATAATCTTTAGCTGTTAAAACTTTAGATCTTTAAGATTCCTATTTAAAGTTCAAGTCCTTGTTTAAGAAGAAAAAATCTTTTAATTCTAATTGTACAACCTAAACCGGCAGTAATCTACATACTACCATTAGGCATTAGCGCCCAAAACCACCTCCAAATTCCAGTAAACCTACTGTTCTTCAAAATTATTCTCAAACCTTCCAAACTCATGACCACTTAATCCACATCAATTCACACCACGAAATCCATCTAGCCAGGCTCTATGAGAAACTTTCTAAAGTCTTCTGCATCAATTTGGTTATTGGAGCCTAGATCTTAACCTTGGTTCTCATACGCATACTGGAGAACACTGGAAATTCCATACTTTGCCTATGATGTTCTTAAATTGAGTGGCTTACATGTTCTTAAATTGATGTCACTCCTAGGAGCAATATTTTGTTAGAAGAGCCTGTCATGATGGAATCACATTGCATATAACAGATTCTTACCAATTGCATCCAGAAAGAACTTGGCAAGGAAGGAAGTATAAACTTATTAAGGAGTATATGACTTCATATAATCTTCATCCACCATAGCATCAGATTGCCAGTGAATACCTTGCTGATTCTCTCTCATATTCATAAAACATGATGGCTACCACAAAATCCTTTCCAAGCGAAGATACAAAACAACTAAAATAGAAATTGGCATGCATCTATTGCCAGGTTGTTGAATGATTAGGCATGAAAACTTCTCATTCATGGAGGGTGAGAATTTTCAAATTACTAAGATTTAGATTCCGTGTCTTCTACAGTAAAAGCCGTCCATGCCACTTCAAACGAAGTTAATATTGGAGAATCTGGGGAGAGAATTTTAAGTGACAGAGCAAAGCTTGAAAGAGAAAGATTTAGAATCAACCCCCAAGTTTGTTGAGAAATGCAAAACCCTGAAACAAGATCACACTATTTAGATTTAAACTATAGTCGTCATATTATCAAAGAGAGAATAACGACAGTAGAATTTGATTTTAAGCTTATAGATGGTATTATAAGGGGATATAACAACAGACGAATTTGATTTCAAGCTTAAAGATCGTATTATCGGGGGGAAGAACAGAAGAATTTAATTTCAAGCTTAAAAAGCTAAAGCTTGGATGAGGAGAGAGCTGAAAATCAGGATAGCTATCCTCTTGAATGAACACCATTGAATTCATGACGTCTGACAAGTTTCATACAGAAAGGCTTTCTCCCCTTTTCCTTCGTCATTTCGGCAAGGATTCAAGGAATCTATAGATTTCATTGTTCGTTGTAAATAAATACTACAAAATTCGGGGACAATTTATCTCAAATGTAGGAGATGATGAGTAACAAATGCACAGCAAAGAGAAAATACAGAATTATAGATGGATAAGATCAAATTTGTGTTTCATGGAAATCTATGCTTTTCTGTTATTGGAATAAGTTGTTGCAAGGACAATCTTCACCCATTCTCAATTGGCAACTTTTAGGTCTTCAAATAATTATATGATATCTTTATAGCAATATAATTTACTAATGAGAAACTGAAATTGTGTCATGTTTGTATAAATTTCGGAAGGGTGAAGCAGTTACTAAAGATTATTTACAATAAAGCACCAAGGTGGGTGTGATATGTTAATTAGCACCTATTGTTTTCTTTAGAAAACCAATCAAAACCTTTACAAAACTCATGCCCACCTCATCCACATCGAATCCGGCTACAAAATCCATCTTAGGAGGGCTTTATAAGAATTTCTGAAGTTATCATCGAATCTGCCCAGCCCAAGCTGCCAATAACAAGACACTCATAATTTTATATCTGATTATAGATCATATCACAGTGTTCAAGTTATAAAGAGGATGGTCTTCAGCAACGAACTAATGATCAAAAGAATTGATAAAAAAAAAAAAGTATCAGATTAAATGACTAAGACATTGATGAGAAACAATTAAAATAGAATACCTAATAAATACTCAGTCTTCAAGGCAATGAGAATAGTTCTTAGCATAGATTCACAAGAAAAGAATGTACAGTTCCTCATGCAACAGGATGAAATAACACTTACCAAATTCGAACAAACAACCGCAATCTGTTTCTCCAGCAGAGCTCCAGCAAATAATGTTAATAACTGCAAAATGTTAATAGTAATAAGCAATATTTATGTAACCTAATCTTGTTGATACATGTCCTAAAAGTCTCCAAATGAAATCTCACTCTCAAACACCAAGGATGATCTATTGACTTGCCTGATGGCACGAGTGGCCTCTCAAATATGCATGTCGTGATGCAGGTGCTAAGTATTGAAACAAAGGCATCAGTAAGTAATACAAGCATGTTTGCCTAAAATTAAAAAAAGTACTTTTGTGTCGAAACACGCGTAGATGCATTAGTTCTTTTGAGAGTAACTCTTAACTTAAATATCAAAATAAGTAACTTACCTATTTTCTATTGATCACTTTGTTAAAACAGACTTCTTTAGTAGTGTATTTATCAGTGAACATTTTAAGCATAGACAAACATGCTCAACATCCTTTACCGTAGACTTTCCTTGCTAAGTGTGTACAGCGCATTATATTATGTCTATCTGAACATTTTAAGCAAGCCAATGATTATCATGGATTACACCTTTTCGAAACCTTTCATAAAATATGATTTTTTTTGCATTTTTAATTCTAACCTCCTTTGAGAACCACAGCCAGCGAAAGCAAAATTTTCAAAAATCATACTTCACAAACTCATGAGGCTTCAAATGGTTTGGAAGCCTTAAGAACCAGTATGCCCTTGGCAGAAATTTATTTTCTTCAATGTGTGATGAACTTACATGCTCCAGTCGCAAGGAACCACATAAGCATGCAGTAGCCCATACTGATAAAGCAGCTGCCTCCTCCTCCGCCATGAGCGCACTGTGGGCCTTAAAGAAAAACCAATACATGATACTGAAGAAAAGAGCTTTACTAGAGAGGGCGACACAAAAACTTTACAGCGTAAAGTAGCAGAACAAATGAGCAGGTCGCACTTTCCCTGACAAGCACATTTCTTTTGGAAACTAAGGATAAGGGTACTGCAACCTTTTAAGTGAACAGGCAGGGTAAAAGTTATGCTCATTTTGGTGAAAGAAAATGTACAAATCATATAATATATGACACACATGCATAAAATTACTCATGTTTGTACATGCCATATGTAAATTTGACCTTACCAATACAATTGAGAAAAAAAAAAAAAAGTTTGTCCGTGCAGTTCCTTTCAGATAACTTTCCCCATGTCAGAATAAATTTTAAAATTTTTCATTTTAGGCACGAGAGGAAAGGTGATTCATTTTGAGAAATGTTAAGGATGTAAATTATTGAGGAATCACATATATTAGACAATGAGATATTGAGTTTCCATAAACTGTAATCTTAAATTTAGTCTATATAATGAAAGTAGAAGAGAGGAAGATTATAAACTCCTCTCGGTTAATACCAAACCCATTTCTCAACATGGTATCAAAGCTTGGCTTTTAGGGTTCGGTATTTTCTACCAGTTTTTCCTCTTCTGATAAATTTTTTTTTTTTTTTTTCACATTCCTTCTTCCTCTGTTCTTGCCCTTGCCTTCTGTGAGTACCTTCATGTTAGGTGTTGGAGTAGTCGACCGAAGTTCTGTGTGCGGTGTCGGTTCTCGCTGGAATTTCTGCCGTTATTCTGTGGTGGTTTCGGTTGGTGAAGTGGTTGGAGTTCTCATATTGTGTAGCGTCTACAGCAACAATTGACAGGTATTTTTGGGCGGTGACATCGTGCGACAGAATCGGCAATTGGCTAATTGCGATTGCGAAATGTGCTTTCATGCAGCGAAATCGGCTGTGGAATCGACAATCTGTCTTGCTGGAGCCATCTGTATTGGGTCCTTGTGCATGTGTAGTGGTGTAAAATGTTTGTATTGGGCAGTTGTTGTTTGGTTGGGCTACCTTACGTTTGGGCAAAATTGATTTGGGCTCTATTTTATTCCATTGAACTTGGCTAAATTTTGTTGACAATTTATCTTGTATAACTCTTTTGGCTAGTTGTGGTTACCTCCTTATTTAACGCATCGGTGTGACTAGCATCATGTCATCAAATATGCAGATGTTCAATCTAACTGGTCCCATGGTACCTAAAAAATTGCACTAATTGGGCTAGGTGCGTCGAGGTATTTTTGAGAGGAAAGGATTTGTTTATCCACTTGATTTTAGACAAGACATCTACAAAGTCTTCAGAAAATGACTCCACAAAGGTTGATTCTACTCTCAATGATCAGTGGGATCAAAAGGATAATACCATCATTGATCCTATAATTGGAAGTATTGAGCCTCATATCGGGTCTTCTGCCCTCTATATGTCTACTGCTAAACAAATCTGGACGCATCTCAAACATTCTGGAACTGGAAATGTTACTCGAATATATGAGACGTGTAAACAATACTTTAGGCTTGAGAAGGGCTCCTCCAGCTTTGTTGAATATTATTATAAGCTTTTGGCTATATGTCATGAGAGAAAAGTGCATCAACCCTCTCTCTTGATTTGATGGTTATGGAAAAATAGCGGTAAGACATTGATATGGTTATTTTTCTTATTAATCTTCCATCAGAGTTTGAAGCGGTCTGGGCACAAATATTAGGTGAAAAGGAGCTTTCCACTCTTGCAGAGATATTTTCTCATATTCAGCGCTCCACTCTATCATATAGTAGTCTTAGCGATCATTCTGCTTTTATTGCTAAAGGTGACACATCCTGGGTGGTCAGAGTGGATGTGATAAAGGTGATTTTAGCTCTCGGGGTGGGCAGACGAGACACTAAAGGTATTGGTCGTTCAAGAAATCATGAACCTAAAAAATGTACCCATTCCAATCATATAGGACACTCCATTGAATTTTGTTGGGATTTACATGGAAAGCTGTCAGTTCTACAAACCAAGTCTCATCTAACGAGGACCATCAATCAGCATCTACACCGATGAATAATTCTAGTTCAACATCTGAGTCTAATTTCATATCTGTACCATGGGATGAATATGTTGCGTTCTTAGCTCATAAGCAGGCCACTCTCACACAGTATACGATGGCTTCTCACCGTCTCTTGTAATCCTATCATAATCCGTCGATCATCGATTATGGAACAACCAAATACATGATTGGTTCGTCCACTTATCTTCTTGATTATCATCTTGTTACATCTTCCAAATGTGTCACTCTTGCTAACATTTCCTGAAATAGTGTTAAAAGCTCGAGAAATGCCTACCTTAGTCCGAATATTGATTTGTTGGCTATCCTTCATGTTCTTGGCTTTTGATAGATCACCCATAAGATTCACTTATGCAAGAAAGAAGAAGGGAGCAATCATATCTAACGTGAAGGATGCTAACTTAGCTTCAGTTAGTTGATAGGGGTAAAATAGTCATTGTGCTTTGTAAGGGAATGAATAAATTGTGGGCGGGAGAGGATTGTAGGCAGGCTTTTACTGATTCTTCTGTTAGAAAGGGGGGAGAGACCAGGCCTCTCTAATAGCCTTGGAACTTGTCTCTTATTTTCCATTAATTGAATTTCCATAATCTGTTCCATTCTTCCGGGTTCTTAGTTGATTTATTGCAGAACTCCCAGAGAAGGAGCCACACCTGGAGTCAGAGGATGAGGGGACTTAACATTCTGGTATCAGAGCAAGAATGACGCTTACAGATCGAGTGGCATTGTTGGAAACAAGGTTCGATGAGTTGCAAGACGGGATGGGTGCAATGAAATCTGAGATACAGCGAGACATGGCTGGATTAATGGAGAGGTTTGATATGGTGATGAAGAAATGGGATGTACAGGAAAGGGATAGAAAGGAGAAGCGAGTTTCGTCCGATCCACCGGTGTTCCCGACGAATTCCGATGAGATGCAACAGTTAATGAAATGGGGGAGAGCACTGGGAACCCCCTGCGCCGTGAGGAGATTGGGAGAATAGACAATCGAGGACGTCGTCTGGAATTGCCTATCTTCAACGGCGATGACCTGGATGGTTGGATTTTTCGTGCGGAGCGGTATTTCAGCATGAATCAATTTACCGATTGGGAAAAGATTGAGGCCACTACAGTCTTTTTCGAGGGTGAGGCTCTGGCCTGGTATCAATAGGAGGTCAGTCGACAGCCATTGAGAAGTTGGGGAGATTTGAAGCTCTTACTACTTAACAAATTCCGGCCATCACAAGAAGGATCAATTCTGGAAAAACTCTTGGCGTTGAAGCAAGAAGGGACGGTGAGAGAATACCGTCAAATGTTTTAGATCCTCGCTGCATCTCTGCCGGAGATTCTAGAAGCTGTACTGGAAGGAAATTTCATAAATGGGTTGAAATCGGCCATAAGAGCTGAAGTGAGAATGATCAGGCTGCAAGGATTGGGCCAAATCATGGAAATGGCCCAATGGGTTGAGGACCGTAATGAGTCCTTAATGTGAGCCTAGTTATAGAGTGGCCCGCTTAAAGCTAAAAACCATAGTAGCCAACCGTCCATACCCAGCCCATCTACAATCAGCCCAATTTACCGGAATTTATCCCCAATTCAATCGACCCAGTCCATAGCACCAGCACGGCAAGCCCTTATGGTGCCTCCCAAGGCGGCTGTGCCTATTACGCAGTGCTCGTCAACAGTAGTGAAGGGTGGGTCCCCTTTCAAGCAACTCACTGATGCGGAATTACAGTCGAAGAGAGAGAAAGGGCTGTGTTACCGTTGCGATGAGCGGTATAGCCCGGGACATCAATGTAGAAACAAGGAACTGCAGATCTTAGTGGTGCAGGAAGAAGACAGCGAAGAATTTGGGGAGGAGGTTGACGGGATGGAAGAGGAGGAAATTCGGGACACGGTGGAATTGTCTATTAAATCTGTAGTGGGTCTTACCGCTCCCAAGACGATGAAGCTTAGGGGGGGAATTTTAGGGCAGCCTGTTGTCCTGATTGACTGTGGAGCTACCCATAATTTCATTTTCGAAGAACTTGTTCGAAAGCTTAGGTTGAGAGTGATAGGTTCGGCCAGTTTCGGTATCCAATTGGGAACTGGATTATCGGTTAAAAGCGAGGGAGTTTGTAAAGGGGTGGTGGTTTCTCTGCCAGGAATCGAGGTAGTCGAAGAATTTTTTCCACTAAGACTTAGCTGTACAGATGTAATCCTAGGGATGAAATGGTTGGAGACTCTAGGGAAAATGCAAGTGAACTGGGGAGCCCTAACAATGCGTTTTAAGGTTGGAGGGGAAACCATTGTACTGCAGGAGGACCCGAGTTTGGATAAAACGCAAGTGTCCTTAAAATCGATGGTGAAAACTTTCAACGTGGGAGAACAGGGCATCTTGCTGGAATTAGGAAGTCTAAGAGTAGAGGCTGCGGAGAAGACAACTGAGGTTCCCAACCCAATTAGGGAACTACTGCAGAAATATAACGTGTTTGAATGGCATAACGAACTTCCTCCTCCACGATCGAGGGATCATGCAATCATTCTACAGCCTGGGACAAGGCCAATAAATGTCAGGCCGTACCAATATCCGTATGTTCAGAAGAATGAGATAGAGAGGCTAGTCAAAGACATGTTGACAACGGGAATTATTCAGCCCAGTTTCAGTCCCTATTCCAGTCCTGTCCTTTTGGTGAAGAAAAAGGACTGCAGTTGGAAGTTTTGCGTAGACTACCGGGCCCTTAACAAAGTGATTGTACCCGATTGTTTTCCGATCCCAGTTATTGATGAGTTGTTAGACGAATTACAAGGAGCTCGGATATTCTCCAAGTTAGATTTGAAATCAGGGTATCACCAAATTCGGGTTCGGCTGGAAGACATACCAAAGACCGCCTTCCGTACTCATGAAGGACATTATGAATTCTTGGTAATGCCCTTCGGGCTGACAAACGCACCGACGACCTTTCAGTA